AAGTACTCTTTCTTTGGGCTCCAAATTCTGTAGGCTGTTAAAGAATTGGGTTAGGGCAGAGAGAAATGGTTGAGAATAAAATATTTTGAGTAAAATTAGATGTGAATGGTTGAGAGTTAAACCCTCTACCTCTCTCCTAGGGTTCCCAGAAGCCCACCATATATCAACTACGTTTCATATTAAATGTTTCTTCACAAGATGGCATACTTCGGTTTCAAGATGTTTTATTGAAGTTAATATCGTACTGAGTTCTCAACAGGTCATTTTAGCAAATGTAAGACAGAATTGCACCAAACTGAAAAAAGTACAAAATATCAGTTAATAAGTATTGTTGTCATCTAGCAGTGAGCAGTAGCCAGGTCAGCTTTTATGAGGCCAGTAAATCTTGCTGAGTGTATAGATAGGTTTCCCCACCGTCAACATAGCCACTCTGTCCATCATCCCATTAATACACACTAAGTAGTCTGGGAAGAATGATGACTGATGATCTGAAAGTAGGCTACCACATCTACTGCATTATTAAGATTGTTTGTGTTTTGGGGTCTTACTGATGAACATTTACGTAGATACAATCATATTCAAGGGTTGTCCTTAGAGGGTTTTCTATTTCTTTCCCCAAATATCCTTATTACCAATGGTCTGACTTTTGTCCTAGGTCTGTCAGACTATGGCAAGACCAAAGCAACTTTCCAGGATTTGTTGTAAACTTCATCCCTGGATGTCTCTTCACCCAGATAAAGTGAGAAAACACATGTTCTGCCTGGAGGGTTGCCCTCTGATGGTTCAGGTTCATCTCTGAGTGACCACAGAGTCCACTTCTTGGTATTTCTATATCAAGCAGAACTAGCTGGAAACCAGGCTTCGGAGTTTTCATGCCAAGTCATACGTTCATGGGAAACTCCCTTAAATGCCGTAGTTGCAGACTGAAAGAAGAGTAGGAGTATGATTTTTTAAAAGTATGCGTTCTGGGATTGTAAACTATATGCACGTATCACATACTTGTGTGTTTGGGGTTTTTTAAAAATCTCAGTCACATATATTCTTCTTCCAATTCGTGACTAAAAGTTGCTGATTATATCCAGTTTTGTCGTTATACACGTCAAATATCTGATAGTGTTGCTTGTCCACTTAGTTTCTACCAAGGACTAGTAAGTAGTAAGTCAGAAACCTTTTAAAAACATTAAAAAATTTTTTATTTCAATAGCTTTTGGGGAACAGGTGGTGTTTGGTTACATGATTAAGTTCTTTAGTGGTGATTTCTGACATTTGGGTGCACCCATCACAGGAGCAGTGTACACTGTACCCAATGTGTAGTCATTTATACCTCATGCACTTCTCAACCTTCCCCTCGAGTCCCCAAAATCCATTGTATCACTATGCCTTTGCGTCCTCATAGCTTAACTCCCACTTGTAAGTGAGAACATGTGATGTTTGGTTTTCCATTCCTGAGTTATTTTACTTAGAGTAATGGTCTCCAGCTCCATCGAGGTTGCTGCAAATGCCATTATTTTATTCCTTTTTAAGGCTGAGTAGTATCAGAAGCTTTTTATTAAATAAAAATGAATACTTGCTAAAAGAGCCAGAATATTAATCTGACATCACTATCATAGTATGAAAAATATTTTTCTTTATTATTCAGTTTATTTTAGTTTATTTATTAGTTGCAAAAATAATTAACTATCTCTACAATACAAAAGGGAATAATTTAAAAAAAATAATAAGCAAATTTAGTTTTGAAATAATACAAACTCAAAAGAACCATTTACATTTTGAAATGTTTGTTAAAATAAACACCTACATTTATAAAATATTAGTTATTTAACATTTACGTTAATGTAAGATTTCAGAAAAACAATGGACAAAAAAATAAAAAATCTTACAATCTCTTCTGTCAAGAGAACTTTTCTTTCTCCACGATAAAAATCTAATATTCACATCATTACAAAGCGAAAGAAAACTACGACTTTCTCTTTTGAGACATGAAATAGGTACTTTCCTAGGTTATTTAACGGAGACAGCGAATATAAATTGTTTTCCTTAAAATTAACGCTCTATTGAGACCATGCTGGCTAACATGGTGAAACCCTGTCTCTACTAAAAATACAAAAAATTAGCCGGGCATGGTGGTGGGTGCCTGTAGCCCCAGCTACTCGGGAGGCTGAGGCAAGAGAATGGCGTGAACCCAGGAGGCAGAGGTTGCAGTGAGCCAAGATGACACCACTGCACTGCTCCCTGGGGGACAAGCGATACTCCGTCTCAAAAAATAAAATAAAATAAAATAAAATAAAATAAAATAAAATAAAATAAAATAGAATAATAATAAAAAAAATGCTCTAGTTAAATGTAACATTTTACGGAATGCTTCAAGTAATCTTCCTTTTCAAGCTTATATTTTGATTGTTTATTACTGAAAAGACAACAGTGGCTATGGAAGACCCTGCTAGAGGAAGTATACTGCCAGTTCTCATTTCATTGTTTTTATTTAATTTTCCCATTTTTTCGAGTGAGAAAATCACCTTCAAATCATCAGAAGCAATTTTCATAGGTAGGTAGACACCCTTGAAAAGGTATATAGAGGGCACCCTAAAGTTGCAAGTGTTTATTTGCCTTACAAGTGATTTGTCTCATTGTTTTGGGGAAAAAAGAGTACTTAGATCTTTCAACTTTTTTCTTGTGCATATTTAGTGGATACAGTGCGATGTTTTGATACAAGCACACATAATGTTATGATCAAATTGTCTTCTGAGTGTTTGAAAAGAGTAGCTCCTGTGTAGTAGACACTTATCCCCATGGTGAAAAGAGTGATGGCAACTTGGGGTCTGAAATGCTTACACAACAGAACAAACTCAGACTCAGTGTACCTGAGGAAAGCTGGTGGTTCGCACAGAATTGTGAATGGGAATTAAAGGGGAGTGTTGTTAAAACCTGTAGAGTACAAATGTGAGAGGGTCTTAATTTATCTGGGAGAAATAGATTAATATCCTCAAAGAACCATGCCTGTTGGGAAGCCCATTGCGATGAGTGAGTAAACCAGCACTGCCTGTCAGTCATATAGGAACAATCCTACTGATGATATTGTGGATGACAGGAAGGACAGCAGCATATAGTGAACCAGCTGTCTCTTGTCTTTGATATTGAAAACAATTATACTTTATTAGGTTACATAGTAAAAAATTACATTTACAAGTAGAATAAATAGAATAATAAATACAACTGTCAGAAGTGGTTTTGAGCATAACCCCCAATCCCCACCACAACTTGTAGGGGCAGAAACATGCAGGCACAAAAGAAAGTAATCTATTAAACATGAGTGCTTATTGTGCCATGGAAATTAGTCAGGGCGCTTTACAGAGGGAATAGAGCATGCTGGTTAGTTTGCTATATAAAAATATTTTTGGCCAGGGGCGGTGGCTCATTCCTGTAATTCCAGCACTTTAGGAGGGTGAGGCAGACAGATCTCTTGAAGGCAAGAGTTTGAAACCAGCCTAGCCAACATGGTGAAACCCCGTCTCTACAAAAAACACAAAAATTAGCCGAGCATGGTTGTGGGCGCCTGTGGTCCCAGTTCCTTGGGAGGCTGAAGCTCCAGAATAGCTTGAATCCGGGAGGTGGAAGCTGCAGTGAGCCAAGATAGCGCCACTGCGCTCCAGCCTGGGTGATGGGAGTAAAATCTTGTCTCAAAAAAATTTACACGTAATTTTCACAGTCATACAAATAATGATATTTCAGCTTTTCATTTGTGAGATGTAACATAATTTTAACAAATCAGCAGGTTTTAATTCTAGTATGGATTGAGTCTCTGGGCAGAAAAAGGATCTAATTAACAGTAATTGGCTCCCTTAACTAGAATCCAAGCACTGTAAAAATGAGACAGTTCACATATTTACTCAAAAAGAAATCTTGTCCAGAAGAAAAAATTCAAGGCTCATCGGTTTTGATAGTTTTAAATAACATTTCTTAAATTACATAGCTTGAAAATGATAGTTTAGATTTAAAATCAATTCTGATCAGTGTTTATAATTCAAATTATATTATTGTAATCAATAAAATGTTAGGTTCTTATAAGTATTACGCTATGACCATCATAGAGATTATGGCCATTTTTGCCTCTTCAGAGCACTGTGTTCTATTTGATCAGCAAGTGTGAAGATGTCATTATTGTTTATTTTTAGTCTATTATTAAATAAAATTACATCATCTGAAAGACTTAAACATATAGCTAAGTGAAAACAAAACAAGAACTACAAACAAAAATAATGTTTAATTGATAATTAGCATAATAAAAATCTAGAATTATCAACAATTCTGATAATATCCACTAACATTTTTGTCACTGTAAACCCAGTTTCTTAGTATTAATATCTTGTTCTTCATTTAAGGCCCAGTTTAAATTTTCTCTCCCCTCTTTTCATCCCAGTTATTCTAAATCTTTTTCTCTTTTAGATGGAATAAATACTAGTTCCTTTGATTCTCATAACCCTTTATTTATATTCTTTTAACTGATCTGATTATCTTGCATTACCATATTGTTTTCAGTGTTCATCTTCTCACCTAACCAGTCCCAACCACCATAAACTATATATTTGTTCATTTTAATTTTTCTTCTTTGAATGGGACTTGGTACACAGATAAATGTATCACTAGATGAATGCCTGTGTCCTGGATAAAATGCTCCCAGCCACTTCAGACCCTGTTCTTCTGTCTCTCCAACCGGAAAAGCAATTCTTGTCCTTATATTTGTTTTGGCTGTGTCTTTCCTTGAAAAACTCTCATGGTTTTCTCTTTTTGCCAAGTGTGAATTCTTTCTTTTTAACTAGACATTGGACAATATAGTGTGTAGATTGACTTGCAATTTTTTTTTTGGAATAGGAGAAAATAAAAGGGCAACAGTAGTCTTAATCCTTGGAAATACTGTCTGAGACAGTATCTGCCTCAAAGGTCAGAAAATTTTATGCCTTTGATTTCTTCTGTGACTATCCTAATTTTATTTTTATTTTTTGTTAGCTCATCTTGGTTGCCACAGGCATTCCAAGAACTCTTTTCAATGCAGTTTTTACCTCCTTGTTCCTCAGACTGTAGACAAGAGGACTAAGTAAGGGAGTAACCACTGTGTAGGTCACTGCCACCAACTGATCCTTGTCTGAGGCAGACTTGGACTTGGGCCACAGGTAGATAATAGAGGCACAGCCATAGTGGACAAAGACCACAGTGAGGTGTGAGGCATAGGTGACAAAGGCCTTCTTCTTGCCCTCAGCTGAAGGGATCTTCAGGATGGTGTTAACTGTGAAGCCATAGGATATGAGAATTAACAGAAAAGGCACCATAATTACCAGGATGCTGAGGCTAAATAAAGCCAGCTCTTTCACATGGGTGTCAGTGCAGGCTAACTTGATAAAAGGTGCCATGTCACAGAAATAGTGATTAACCCCGTTGGGGCCACAAAAAGGCATGTCACAAATGAGGTTGGTGGCCACCAAAGCAAAAAGGAAACTTGTGGCTCCTGAGAGAGAATCAACCCCAACCCCAGCCTTCTGTTCATGATAAGTGTGTAACTCAGAGGGTGACAAATGGCTACATAGCGATCATATCCCATCACCAATGAGGAAGCAGTTGGTGCAAGCAAAGGCAAGAAAGAAGAAGAGCTGGTTGGCACAGGCCATGAAGGTGATGGTCTTGGTGTCTAAGAGCAGGTGGATCAGCTGCTGAGGGATGATGACAAAAGTGTAGTAGGACTCAGAAAATGAAAGAATGAGTAGAAAGTCATACATGGGAGTGTGGAGAGTCCAGCTGAAGCGAATAACGGCCATGACGGTCACATTGGCCACCAAGATAGTCAAGTTTAGGAGAAGAAATATGACAAAAAGCAGCAGCTGGAGCTCCCCCAGGCTGGAGAAACCCACCAGGATGAACTGTGTAACCACAGTGGTTTTGTTGAAACCTTGCATCTGAATAATTTTCTGTGAATGTGTTTGAAAGAGACAAAATGATAACTATCGTTGTAAGAAGAACATTTTCCCAACACCTTCACTTTAAGTATATTGTCAGATTCATAATATTAACATCTCTTTCTCTTAGGCTATCTAGACATAGTAGACATAGACAGCCTCTTTAATGATTTTTCCAATAAATTATTGATCTGAAGTAACAGAGAAATGATTATCTACAGTATATACATACCCCAAAGTTAAAAGAATCCAACTATTTAACAAAGTGAAAAAATTCTCTCAGTTTAAGAAGAACATTACCTTTAATATGGAATAGAAAATTTAAATTGTTTTTCTTGTACTGTATGTATTTGGTCTTTGGGTGTATATTCTAACTTAGTAATTTGGTTTCTTTTCCTAATATAACAATCCTTTAATTAGCATTATTGTAAAGGCACTAAAACACTGTGCCTCAAAGCATGAACTCAGGAACCAGAATGCTAGAGTTTGAAACTTGCCTTTGCACTTAGAGCTGTGAACTTCAGTGTGACTGACGGTTTTTGTCATTTGTAAGACATAAATAATAGTAGAAGATATTATATAAGATTATTATAAGAATTAACTTAGATGATATCAGTAAAGTACTTGAAACAGTACTTAACACATAGTAACTCCAATCTATGTGTCAGCTGCTTTTACAACTAAGGAATTGAGAGGCAAATATCCTGGTTTGATACTTGAAGACTAGAAGAGCCTGGACCCTTAAATCAGGACAGTTTCCCTGCATTTGACTCATGTGTTCTTATCCTTGAGATTCTTTTTTCAAAATTGAGCAAAAATTTAAATATGCACAGTTAAAGAAAGAACTGTCATGTTTACATTAAAAATTATTTTCTTTTTAAATTTTATTTTGTATTAGCAACTAATAATTATACCTATTTATGGGGTATTATGTGATGTTTGGATACATGTATACATTGTGGAATGATCAAATCAGGGTTCTTTAATAAATCTACCCTTTTTTATCTAAGGAGTCTATAGCCTTTGAATTCTTTTTTATGATTCTATGATACTTGTTCTGTATGTTTCTGGAATTGTGAAGGGACACGAGTGTAAAACCTGAGTCACAAGGTTATGGCATATCTGTCTATGAAACAAAATAGATCGATGATCCCTAGGGATGGGGTGGAGCAGGAAGTCTTAGGTTAAGTCTCCTTTCTATTGAAGAAAGGAGAGGAAATAACATGAACACACTTTGAATCTCTTGCAAATAAAATAGCCAGAAAGTGCTAAATAGAAAGAGAAGAAACTATCTCAGGAACTTCTCATTATCTTATAGTCTAAGTTATTCCTCCTTCCAGAGCCCTAATCATTTTTACTTTCAGAATCAGTTTCAGAGATTCAGGAGAAACCAGATGTAATATTTGCACAACTCAACATCTCCCAACTTGTTGGCTACTTTAATGTCTATAAAATGTTAGGAGTTGTTTGACATGACACACTTGGGTTTGTTCATTGTTCATCATCTCTGTTGTGGTTTATTTGCTTAGGTAGTTCCACACACCTGTTACAACAGCTTTTTCCTTTGTATCAGATCTTGCAGAAAATAAGATGTTTTCACCTAAGCTACCTCGTTTTGACTCTAACATCCTGGTAGATAGCCAAAGTGTGTCTCTATCTCACAGGTAAGGCAAGTGTACTAAGTGCCCTCTCCTGGGCAGAGTAACCTGTGATCCTTATCTTTACATTTAACATGTCGCATTGAACATACCTCTTTATATATTTGGCACTCTTTATAGATTATAAGCTTCTTAAGTGCAGGAATAACTTTTTTAAATTAAAAAGTGAGTCCCTTGAATATAACATAGTTTGTGATTTATCATATGCTAGAAGATTTTGACTTGATTAGAATGTCAGAAAATTAAATAATATACTCAAGTGGTAGATCTAGTACCAGAATTCAAGTCTTCTAACTTCAAATCCACTTTCTACTTACCACATTTTATGGCACCCATTCTTTACCTTATGAGAAGATGATTTGCCCATATGCTTTTCCCAAAGGACTAAAGCATAGTTTTGCACTGCTTCCTCAAGTAAAACTTATTTTTAGCATTTCTGACTTTTCTGGAATAATTTCATTTTAATTATCCAAGATTTGAATTATCAAATTTTACAACATGAGTTTCATTCTCTTTAATCCTAAGATTAGGGAAATAAGAAAAAAGGAAAAAGGGGCAGGAAAGTAGGCAAATCAAGGATATGATTGATGAAAACACTCAAAGGCAAGGAAGCTCCAGGGGATGTTGTTTAATTTCAGTCACAGTTTTATGAATCAAACAACTTTCAATGTCTCCCTAAATCATCAGCTTCTTTTTTTTGTGACTTACATGAGAATTTGTTCATATACAAAATATCCTCTAATCTTGGCCACAACACTAGTATTGTTTTTATATCTGTTTTTCAGGTTGCTTCATGTACTTGTGTTGTCCATTGTTTTTCATATTCAAATCCCTGTCATGTCCCATGTTCTCCAATAAAGCTTCCCTGCCTACTAGAGTCCATACAGATAGCTCATTCTCTCTGTAGCCTTTAGGGATTTTAAAATCATGCATGTATGGGAACAAGTTAGGTACTATCTTGTATTAATTTATAAATCAATTTGCCTATGTAGATGCCTCATAACCCTATTTACATTCTTTCTTTGAGGCAGGGGGCATAACAATGTATTCTAAACAATCTACAGCAGCTGCAAACAAAACTGGGCACATAACAGACACTAATTAAATACTTAATAAATTATGGCATGGTTTAATTCTTCTTTTGTTTACAAGTTTTTTCATATGCTATTTTTTCTAGAATGTAGTCTCTGTTCTATAATTCATGTCATTCTTAAATGTTGATTTTTCTCAAAATCATCTTTTATTTAAGAAAGACAAATCTACACTGATGAGTTTTCATGTCTTTCTAGTTACTTCTGTTGTTTGGCCCCTCAGCATTTAAATTTGATACATTAAGATGGGGTGGGTGTCTATGGGTGTGTATGTGTCTATTTGTGTATGTGTGTGCACTCTATCAGAGTGGAAGCTTTTTTATTTCAAGAAAAGAGCAAATAAAGTTTTACTTTGGCTCGGATCTTTTTTATAACAATAAAAACTATGCAACTGAATTCACATCTGAATTTTTGGTAGAAACTATTTCTTTCTTTTGATAGTAACTGACAAAGAAAATAGACTTACCTACTTTTGTTCAAAAGATCACTGAAGCTGTCATGTGAGTTTGCTGACTTATAGTCTGGTAGGTCTTTTAAATATTGAAAGAGGCAGCAGAAAGTCAGTTGTAAAATCAATGACATCTGTCCTGGAAGATTAAATAATTGGAAGAAAATGCATTGAAGCATTACATAAAGAGCTAGAACGCAGACGTAATTGTCCAAACCTTTTTAAATCTTAAATAAGAGCTGAAAATAGTCTGGTCTATATTCATATGTCAATTCAGATTCTATATAATTGTATTTGAGAGCATTTATAGCCTTCTGGGATTCTAAGGAGTAAGGCCTTCTGAGACTCAATAAGAGCTAAACCAAGAGAGAAAATAAATGACTAACCTTGAACAAGGACATATTATTTAATACCAGAAGAAAAGAATTCAAACAGCAATAAAACATTCTATCTCTGCACAGCACTACAAATGTAGATAAGTATTGCAGTGATTTTCTGACATCAGGGCCACAAAATGTTGAAATGGAAGGAGAAACCAAATTCTCCAACCAGGAGATATACAATAAAACTGTTTTGATAAGGCATAAGAGATGAAGGCAGGGGTTGGTGAGTGAAGGTATGTTTGGCACTTTTGGAAATTACATAAGTAGTCTTTGTTCTTCTAAAACAAAGCCTTGCAAAATATTCAAAGAACTGAATATCTTAATTCTCTCCTAGGAATTATTGCAAGGAAATGACTTTCATCCAGCAACCATTCATTGAGTGCCATGATTCAGAGAGCAGTATATAAAGCATTATAGTGATACAAAGATAAAATATGTGAATTGATCTGCTCTAGTAGACAGATGTAAGCAGATCTATGTGTAATAAGAGGTATAATGATGCTCAGTGTTATTGTGACATTAACAACAGGGGAGCTACAAGGATGAGCACCCCCAGCAGGGATTACCTTACCACAACCAGGGCTGAGATTCAGCAAATATTTTTATGAACAAAAACATTCTGGAATAACAAGCCAAGTAGAAATATAAGAATTAGGAGTAAAAAGTCAATGCTAAATGTTTTGTGCCTAGGACACTCAAAGGAAAAAGGAAAGAGGAGAAAGACTGAGAACTCCTACTCTGGTTGTGGCTTGGCTGGTCACATGAGAAAACTTTCTTTCTGGAAACAAAATTGCTGGGAAAATATTTTTAAAATTTGTAGACACCTATTGACAAGCTGAAGGTATAGTAAGAATTTTTAGCCAAAATCTGAAGAAAGCAAAATCCATCAATGAACACTGGAAATTGCTTCTGTTCTGAGGACATTTATTTATCTGGATGAAATTACAAACCCAAGCTGTTGATTTGAGAGAATCACAGAATGAGATGGAAAGAAATTAAAGACCAGAATCTAACAAATGGGGGAGTCAAAAATTAGATATTAAACTTGTTTTCTAGTTTCCATATTCAATGCTTTTATGTCTGGGGCCTTCCTGGCCAGGAAAAACTGACCCTTCTAGGGTTAGCAATTCATAGAGATAACAAGCGAGTTTCATTTCATGTGCAATCGAACACACCCAGAAGCCATACCCACAACTGCCTATTTTTGCATGCTCTCGGACTGAGGGACACTGTTTCCTTTATCCTAATCACCCCAGGGCCAGGCATCAGGGAACTAAGAATACTCCTGGAACCCAGTGAAATTGTTTAAACTAGCCAATTCTAAACCTGCTCAAAATCACTTACCCTGCTTTGCCTCAAAATCATTATAAAAGCTCTCCAAAACTTCCCTTTGCTTTCTGCCTACAACTGAACTTTGTGC